CTGGAGTCTGATAAACATGAAGGCACAGCCAGGGATGCCCTTGGCATCAGATTGTTCTGGCAGCAGACAGTGGTGCCCAGCCCTTGAGCAGACCCTCAGCAACAGAGCCTGATCCCAGGGGCACTGGGGAGGGTAAGGTGGGCCCTGGGCATTCCTATTTTCCATCCGGGTAAGACCTGTAAATGATCAAAAAATAAAACACACTCTGGGAAGCCGAGGCGGGAGGATCGCTTGAGGTCAGGAGTTTGAGACCAACCTGAGCAAGAGCGAGACCCCATCTCTACTAAGAATAGAAAAAATTAGCCGGGTGTGGTGGTGCGCGGCTGTAGTCCCAGCTGCTCGGGAGGCTGAGGCAGGAGGATTGCTTGAACCCAGGAGTTTGAGGTTGCTATGATCAAGGCTGATGCCACAGCACTCTAGCCAGGGTGACACAGCAAGACTCTGTCTCCAAATAAATAAATTAATAAATAAAACAGGGCAGAGGAGCTTGAAATACAAAGCAATAGTCTCCTGCTCCACCTTTCACTACCCCAAATACCCCTCCACAGGGGCAACCACTTGTAATCACTTTTAGTACTTTGGGAGCTAACTGTGTATCACCAAGCAATATGCTGCACCCGTAATTGGATTAATCAAAGTCAGGCATAATCTACCCGCTCCATGCTAGGAAATAGAGTTTAGCTTACTTAGTGCTCCCCCAACCTCTTCCCAATTTTTGACAGTTACATTTTTATTTTTAGTTATTTTGATGATTACCTTGATAACTTTAAAGAATATACTTAAATCTCTGTTATTTTATCAACTCTAGGCTACATCCCTTCACTCCTTACTATTGGTGTGGGAAATTGAGATTCTGTGTTATGTTTTAAGATTAATGTATTAGATACACATTTATTTTATGTATATCTTTATTTTTATAAGGAATGCTTTAGTTATTGTCCCAATTTTAAGGGAATCTACGTAATCCTTTCCTATTCGAGTTTTTAGAGCATTATCAGGAAAGCTATAGCAAGTTGATTATTAGCAGGTGAGTGGGCAAAATCCCAAGAATAACGTAGTTTATAAGCAAGCAAACAGTTTCTCTCTCTTACACACACACTCACCTATTAAAAATATTTTTTATCTTAAGGTTACAAGTCAACAGTTTTTGAAACTATGAAGACAGACTGCTCCATGTTATTTGAAAATCCTTTGCTTTTCTTATCAAACACTTAGAAACAACTTTATGATGACAAGAAACAGAATAAGTATAGAATTAACTTACAATTTATTAACTGGTATATAAATATTTGCTAGTCTTTTCCTTATCTACCTAACAAATTTAATGAGCAGCTCAAAAGGAGTTTCCTGAATCTCCTTTCAAATTTTCTTATTAAACTAATTGAAGCTTATAACACTCAAGCCAGGCCTGAGTGGAAAATCGTGGGACTTATATTTTTATTTTGCACATTACAATGATGAAAATATTAGTGCTTTTTCTCTTTCCTCTCCTTCTCTTTCTTCTAATATCAGTTGGCTAAAGCCTTACTGTTACATTGCCAAGATAGATAATATTCACATTCTGTTTGTTACTATAGTCATGTCCTGGTGCTTTGCCTGTAAGTCAATTTTAGAAGTTAAAAAAACAATAAACATCTACATTATTATGACTACATCACTGCTGTTCACTGATGAGCAAAGCAGTAGGCTAGAACTCCATTTCTTTCCCCATGATTCTGATACAGTCTTTGTGCCATTTAGGAGAGAATGTTCCTAATATCATGGTCAAATGCGTTAATTTTTCTTACATTTTATTAGTTGTTTAAAATCATGTCACCTTTAAATAGTTTGCTTCATATTAAGACCTTAACTTTCTTATTCACTTTTCCTGGGATTTCAATAACATTTCTTTTTTGTTGCTGCTGCCAAAATGTGCAGTCGGCATATTCTTAAAATCATATATTAAATAGTTTGTTAATTATACTGTCCATTGTGTTGAATCCATTTCATATCCAGACGCATCCCACTTGGGACCTCTATTTTTCTGCTTTAACCCCTGGTGGTTGCACAACTGCTGCACAACTGTTATTCTGAGACTTCTGAGACTTCACTTCATTCCTGAGTTATCACCACTGATTTCTGAATCTCATGTTTTCTTCCTTCATGGTTTACACCCTCATTTTATTGGAGTACATACTTTAGTATCTTCCTCAGAAAGACACTAAATTTTCAGAGCTCTTGCCTATTTAACTATACTTTCACTTAATTGATAATCTGGTTAAAATTCCAGTTTCAAAATAATGTTCGCTCAGAATTTTTAAGTCAATGCTCTATCATTTTCTAGCAGTCAGTGTTGCTGACGTGAAGTCTGATGCCCGTCTAATTTTTGTTCCTTAGTAAGTGTTCGGTTTTAATTCTTGGAAGCATTTAGTATTTCTCCTGAAATTGCACAATGATACATTTAGGTATGGATTTTTTTTTTCTTCATTTTTCATGCTGGTTACTTGGTGGGATAGTTCAATCTGAAAACTTTTGTCTTCAGTTTGGGAAAATTTCTTTCTATTATCTCTCCGATTATTTTTTTTTATTTTCTCTGTTCTCTGTTTCTGGATCTCCTGCTGGTTGTTGTAACTCCAATATTTCTCCTCTATTTCACTCAGATTTTCTACCTCTTAATTTTTATGTTCTAAATACTGGGATATTTACTCACCTTCATCTTTCAGATCTATTGCATTTTTAATTTTAGTGATTATATTTTTAATTTCCAAAAGTTCTTTCTTGTTCTTGGAATTTTTTTTCATAGCATCTTGTTTTCTAGATAGAATATTCTTCTTGGGTGTATCTGGAGCTATTAATAAGTACTTTCTTCAGAATTCTTTTCTATATCTCAATTTATATGTTTCTTCTAGCCCAGGTTGTTCCATTTCTATTTACGCATGTGTTTGTTCACTTGTTGCTGGTTTTCATCACACATCTGGTGATCCTTGGTAGCTGGCGCGGGTTTCCCTGATGTAGTGTATTTAAATCTGTTTCCCTGCTGCGGCCCTTCCTTCATGGGAAGCGTTGTGAGTGCAGCTGATTCTCGAGCAGGCTTCATCTGGGGTGCAGACATCACACTAACAGCCCTGGGCTCCCCAGGTGGGGTGTTCAAATCCTCCAGAGAAGCATCCTAAAGCTTTTTTTTCTTCCCTTTTACTCCATATCATTTTCTCCATTTTCTATATTCCAGACACTTGTGGAAAACTTTCCTCTACTCAGGACCCCCTCTCCAATTTTCTTTGCTTATAGTCATTTATTCATTTTCCCCCTTTACTACCCTTTTAGTAGGATCTTTGGGAGAAAGGAAATGAGAGGAAAGAAAATTGTGTAACATGCCATTTTAAACAAAAAACTGTTTAAAAATTAGTTTTCCCACGTTTCAAAATGATCATTGTAGAAAATTGAGAAAATATAAATAATCAAATAAAAAACAATCTGTTCTTCTATCACCCAGAAATAACATTGTTAATGTTTTAAAACATGTTCTAGCTCCTTTTTCTACACATCTATCTTTTTTTATGATAGGATCATACCATCTGTCCTGTTTTCTAATACACCTCTTAAAACTAAACAATAGCTTTTGTATATCTTCCTATGTCACAACATATCCCGAACAATATTCTGAGACTCTGTATTTATTGAAAGATATATCATCATTTTTTTAGCCAATACCCTATTTTTAGACATTAGGTTGTTTCTAATTTTCACTACTATAAACAAGCATTTATAAAGATTTTGGGCTAAATCTTTACTCGCATCCTTGGCTATTTACTTGGGGTAAAATTCTAGTAGTGGAATTGCTGGGTGAAAGTATAAGCAGGCCCCATTCTTGGTCCAACAGTCAGGGTTCTCTTTGAGATAGCTCCGTGGTAACTTCCTGGCCCCAAAGTTTCACTTCACTCCTCTTCACTTGGATTCCCCGAAGCATTATAAACATTAGAAGCATAATTTTCAGAGTCATAACGACCAGGGTTGAATCCTAGCTTTGCCACTTATTGTGTGACCTTAGGCTATTTTAATTAACCTCTTTGAGCACTTTTCTATAAAATGGGGAAATAATTCTACTTTTCTGATATGGTTGTTGTGAGAATTGAACAAGATAAAAAATGCATGTAAAGCACTTAACACAGGCCCTGAGAGGTTGCAAGTGTTCCTCAATGATGGTGTTCGACCCATTGCTGTCCCTCAGCCCATTCAAGCCCCTCTTTTCAAGGCTGCATTCGAGATGCACCCACTTTGTGAAGCCAGGTCAGTCCATCCCCTTGAGTTGTTAGACCCTCAGGGTGGGCTGGACCCTCGTTTCATGTTCAGGACACATTGTCTTGTTGCGTTCATTCATTTGTATGTATGGGAAGGGGCAACATTTTCCTCCTCACCATCCAGCACTGGTTGGTTCCTCCCCATCGTGGATTGATTTATTTTCATTAATGTTCTTGGGGAATAGAGGTGATGATGAAAAGGAGCACAAGCTCAATGTTGGTAGCATCGGGATTGTTTTTAGGAGATTGTTGAGAGCCCTTTTGTAGCTCAGGAGCCTTGAGGATGGTACCTGTCCCCAAGGACACTTGAAGCCTGGCGGACTCAGTAGGCAGCAGAGGCAAGGCAATCTGCTGAGCCTCTCCAGGGCAGGGCCCAGCTGGGAAGGCAGGGCTCAGCATGCAGCGTCAGGACCTTGGTGTGGCTTGCAAGATGCCATCCTCATCCTGGTTCCTTTGCACTGGGCGGTAAGATGCTTCTGGAGCTGGAAGGGCTTTCCTCCTGAGCATCACCCCACCCACAAAGCTCCCTTTCAAGGCCACAGGGACGCCTCCCTAGTTGCCAGGGGAGATTGAAAAGCAGCCTGTTTGCAAAGCTGCAGATGGGAGGGCTTGATGTGGGATAGCTTCCAGGAGAGGGCCCTGAGGAGGGGAAGGGGCATGCCTGGGGGAGGTGATCTGTGCAGTACACTGCGTCAACCCATACCCTGTCTGGGTGTCTTTCAGGAGTCATGGCCGGCTTCAACATGGGGGGCGACCTCAGGGAGCCTGCCGCCAGCATCCCCCTGGGCTCCCTCGCAGCTGTTGGCATCTCGTAAGTTCCCTCGTGGCAATCAGTCTGAGCTGCAGAGTGGGAGAGAAAAACCCCAGGCAAGAGGGGATTGCCTCTTTTGTTCTGAGAGTGCCCCGACTGTGACCAACCTATTTCATATTCTGATTCTCCTTTTAACACTCGGTGGGCTGGAAAATCCACGTCTGGTGGGTTCAGACATTGCCCTTTCATAGCCCTGCCTGGGAATGCTGCCCAGGAGGAGTGTCATTATAGCAGATCACAGATCTAACCCTTTCTTTCCTTCTTCCTCAGCCTGGCGCCCCTTTCCTCCCCCACCCCCATTTTGAACTTGGGGATTTTTTTAACCATTGAGTTTCCAGGATCACTGGAGGGAGCATAAAGGTGAAGCTCAATTTACTTAGCTCTACGAGCCTCTGTTTCCTGTTCTGTAACGTGGGGATAATGACAGTATGTGTGCTTCCTAGCCGGTGGAGGAGGTGCCGTGTTAAAGGCACACAGTGAAGCTCAGAGACCAGCTCTCCTTCCCCACTAGCCTCCCCCAAGACTATCGTGCCTGGCGGGTTTTAGCTCATACTGTCCTACCGACGCTGGCAGGCTAGGCAGCCTTGGGTCTATTTCTGACCTTTTAGTATCTTCTGTTTTTCTCTCCGTACCATGGGAAGAGGTCTCTCTGACCTTTATTGGGTTGGTGTGAAGAGACAATGAGATCATAGGCATGACAATGACTTAAGCAGTTAAGAGTGCCTGTATTATTCTGTGATATTTAAAAAATATTAATATATCTGTTTCGCAAACACTGAATTTGCTCTTAGCTTATTGCAATGGCACTGTTGCTACCAGCCAGACATGTGGCACCAGGGTACTTTGTGCAAAATAAGGCAATAGCTTTGGGGAAAAAATGAAGACAACAGAGATAGAGTTGAGTGTTGGGAAGGAAAGAAAAGAGGGTTCTGTATGAGAAACCCATCTTATTTCTGGCCACAGCTGTGAGCTCCTGGGAGGAACCTTTGGCCCATCTGCTCATGCCCAGGTGGGAATGAGGAGATGGCAGGGATCTCGTGACTTGTTCAAGGTTACAGAGATCTTGGGCCTTGGCTCTCTCTCTATTACCCGTGATCCAAAGACCAGTAGGACCTGGAGGCCTGGGGACCGTCAGCTTGTCCTTCTGCTGGGAGAGAACAGGGTGTGGGGCTGCAGAGCCACCCTAGCCCGCATCCTGGCTGCCTGCGGCAGCTGGGCCCCCCACTTCCTCAGGCCCAACACCCTCTGTGTGTTTTTTTCTTTAATATAAGAAAGAGACAAAACAATACTTTTTTTTTTTTTAAAGAAATATGCTAGAGGAGAAACAGTGCAAAAAGCTGGCTCCACGCCAGCTGGGGAGGCTTCATGACTGGCCTTTCTCTTTTAGTATTGAGGCAGTTCCCAGAGGAAACCCAGGGGTGAGTGGGCAGGGCTCGGATGGGCTTGGGTGAGGCGGGGGTGAGGGCAGCTCTGCTCTGCTCTTGGGTTTTGCAGGTGGTTTTTGTACATTGTCTTCGTCTTCCTGCTTGGCGCCATCTGCACCCGCGAGGCCCTTCGTTACGACTTCCTGATAGCCCAAAAGGTGAGTGAGTCCCGCACTGTCCCAAGGGCTCAGTCTGCCGGGGTCATTGATTTGTTTTCATCAACAAAGGGCCACCTTCCCCTCGCAGTCCTGTCTGGAATCCATAGAGTCTCGAGTCCAAGACTGGGTGGCGGGGGTGGGGGTGGAGGGCTGAAAGGTTCTGCTTAGGGATCCCTAGAAACCTGTGACAATATCCAGAGAGGCAGGCACGTCAATGCATGTGACATCTCTTCATGTCAGAAATCAGGACAGAAACAGAAGAATCTGGTCACCCCAGATTCCCAGCTAAACTAGCCATTCGTTTTTTGCCAATGGCTTCACCTTCCCCACAAGCAGGATGTGCTGCTCAGAAGAAGCAAGAAGGAGGAGGCGGCTGACCGGCAGAGAAGCAGCAGGGAGGCCCAGGGAGAGGGAGGTGGGGCAGGCGCCCGCCTTGTCCCTGAGGACCTGAACCCTCTGGCTTTCCTGAGAATCTCAGCAACTCCAAGTTGATTTGGCTGCGGCATCCTTGTTTCTAGGGTCTGCACCCTGCCAGGAGAAGATTAGTGAATTCCTTGCATTCCACAGCCTCAGTCAGCAGACTGGAGGTCCTGAGACATCAAGGACATTTATTTGGCATCACTAGAATCCACATGAATAAGATTTCCAGGCTTTTTTTTCTGGAAATCCCCCAAAACTTCTACCTTCCCTTAAGTTACTGGAGAAAAAGTGGGCCTTGAGATTCTCATCGTTTTCCAGAGAAATGTAGCTGCTTAGGGAGTTTTTCTTACTGCACCCTCCTGAGTATCACTGCTTGCATTTTAGGAGCCAGTACCGTTTTCTCTTGGTGGGAAGCTTTGCGATCTTCATAGAGAGTGGGTGCCTGGGGCAATCCGGTGCAGGAAACTCTGAATTGAATTTTGAGAGATACGTTTCGGCTGGGATTTCACATTAGCACAGGTTTCTTTTTAAGGCATGCAGACATTCATGCAAAGGTGATATTTGTTTTCAGGGGTCTTGACCTGGGTGTGAAAGCTGGTTTGGAAAGGGGGTGCAGTTCAGATAGTGACAGAGATACCCACCTTCCAGCGCCCAAGATCTCAGACTAGGTTTGCTCTCAGGGAGGGAATCTGTGTCCCTCATTTATATCTACGAACATGCTTCTGTCTGGACTTTCATCTCCCAGGGGCCTTTTCTCTAGGTGTGGGATGAAAAGCTTGGCTGCGTTAAAGGAATTGAGGGCCTCAGGGAGCAGCGGGGACTGCTTGCTGCTTGTCTGCAACGTGCCCCTGGCCGCCAGCTCTGCCTGCTTCTGAAGCTGGTTCCTGTCTGCTGGTTTCCTTCACAGAGGTCTTTTCAACCTTTAGAGACTCTGATCTCGATGGATTGAGGCAAATCGTCCCGTGGCTGGGGCACCTCTCTCCTCTCCTTCCCTTGCTTTGCAGAGAAAGGGTGTGGGGTGGGGGGCGGGGGGAGGCAGCCTCCTATCTAAGGAAGGCCACAAACAGTGATGGGGAAAAACGTCTCCAGAGACAGCACAGTAGAGCCTTTGTGGGTGGAAATTCCACACCTAATAATAGACACATGAACAGAGGGGAGCCTTGTTTGGAATGCCACCTGTCCCAGACAGTGACACAGGTAGGCACGCACTTAGCCAACTGGGGGCACCTGCTACACCAGGCCCTGCACTCACTGGGATGAAAGCCGGAAATTTAGTTTTTGGAGAGGACAAGAGACCATCTCCTGGAATAGGCAATTGTAAAGGCCACGAAGAAAGAAAAGCCGCTGCTCTTGGTTCTCGGTGACAAACGGGCTGGGCAGTAAGTAGGTGAACCAACCACAACAGCTTTAAAATAGCAGCACCTTGGTGTTCTGCTGATTCCCAAAGGGGACCACACAGGATTTCCCCTCAAAGCTTTTCTGCCTTCCTGCTCTCTGGCGTCCCTCCTTGGGACTGACTCCCCTGCAGTCACAGGCACCATGCTGGCGCGGTGAGCTGGGCCACAGATGTTTCTGCTGCAGCACCTGGAGCATGGGAGGCGGGACGTGCAAGTGCAGCGTCTCTGTACCTGGTCACCGGCGCAACCTACCGCCCTGATGTGGCTTTAATAATGCGTTCATCTCGGCTCCGTGTCTCAGCGATGGCCTAGTTCTGAGCCAGCCCGTCTCTGAGCTTTCCCGGGCCTCTGCTGTCCATCCGTGTGCCCTGCCTATCGCCTCTGGACACTGCCATGGGGCCGTTCTCCGACAGACCCCCTTGCTGCTCATCACGGGGAGCTCCTCGGCGGCTCCTCTCTTTCTCTCGGGTGCTCTCTGCGAGGACAGCGATCTCCCCTCTACTGATGTGCAGCTGCTCAGTGAGTCTGTTTCTTTCTGCCTTTCCCACAGCTTCTCTAATCTATTTCTAATTATCTGGCTCCTCAACCCACAGTTTCTCTACGAAGTGTCTTTTTACTTCTTATCCCTACCCTGGGGGAACTTTGTCCCAGCTTTCATGCTTTAAATGAAAAAAAAAAAATTAAACACAAACATATGTAACCTTTTGAGTAAGAAGCAGTAAGCTTTCTACAAGGAGATACTATGCCTGACTCTCCCAAAGGATTTTTTGAGGGGAAAATGCAGTGAATACAATGCATTAGGCCCCATGGTTCTCCCCACTGGCCGCACATTAGAATCACCTGGAAAAATCTACCACGTCTGTGTCCCACTCCATACTAATTAAACCAGAATCTCTGGGGTGGTTCTTATGTTTAGCCAGAGTGGAGAACTACTGAGTTAAATTTTCAAAAAGTTTTTGATAAAATTTCATCATAGAGTCTATTTTTTTTTAAACCAATCAACATAGGATACATTTGACAGAGACGATAGGAGCAAAGGTTATCGATAAATGATCACATCTCAAAATGGGTCGATTGATGAGACCAGTTTATCCACAATTTTGTAAGGCATCTAGGCCACAGATCACGGTAAAGTCACGAAGCTTCATTAATTCAGCTGCTAAACTCTGCTCGCAGCCTGCGTCAGGTGCTGTGGGAGGGGGCCAGAGAGGCATGGTACAGACCTACCCTTAAGGAGTTCTTGGTGCACTGGCTAGATCAGCCATGAGCATAATTAACTATCCCACAGGATAGAAAATAACAAAATGACATCAGAACACACAGGGTGATGGGAAATACTAGATGACATTAATTTCTTGTGGAAATAAAATGGTAGGTGAAGGGTGGGGAATAGGACAAACCCAAGAAACCTGCAACATTGAAGAAAAGAGACGGGGAGAGTCACTGGGGACAAGAGTGAGAGAATGCACTTAGGGAAAAGCAATCTACACTGAATGGAAGACGAGATGGGCTCTGTAGTGGACCTTGGTCTTGTCCATCAAGCCTCTGACCTCCCTGCCCGCTTGGGGGCTGTTCCGCCATATGTATGGTACTGCAGGGGGTGAGTGCCCCCATTTTGTATTACAGAAGCCCAGTGGATCAGACCTCTCTTGCCTGTCCCTTTGCAGCCCTGGTAGGGCACATGACCTAGTTAGGCCATTGCTGCTCAAATTATAATGAATAAGGCAAAGACAAGGAGATGGCGAGAATTCGTCCCCAGAGCAGCAGGGGTGCTGGTGGCATCTGGCCAAGCTGTTCCTGTGGAAGAGTCTGGGTGTGCCTCCAGGCTTGGGTCCTACCCTTTTCCAAGCATGATCTTTTAGCCTCCTGATGATTCTTGAACCTCCAGTGTGCCACAAATACATTCTTTAACAAAAAAAGATTTTTCTACTCCAGAACCCTGACTGATGCAGGATTCATCAGTCAAATTATTCCAGTGATAATTTATGAGCCAGGAGAGACGTGTAGCCAGCGGCTTGTGTTCAGTGCAGCTTGATGACACGGATCTGGTGCGTTGCCAAAGCACGGAAGTAAAAAATGGGGCGAGGCATCAAGAAGGGTTTGAGTGACAAAGTTGGAAATTAAATCTAACCTATCTGGATTCATTAGACAAATGAGCACCTGGAATGCACAGCTCTGGCCACGTGCCTAAAGTAAACCAGGATGGAGAGGGGACCTCGAATAGTCAAGAAAGCAGAGGGGCTCCCCTGTGGGTGCCGATGAAGTCCGGCTCAGGGATGTGAGGTAGACTCATGACTGACAGCTGGGGACACAGCTGCCGCCAAGCAGCACAGATCTTCTGCCGGCTGACACCAAGGAGCACAGCTATCCCCTCTCTTATTTTGTCTGCTGGCGCCTGTGGGCCATGTGGGTCATGGATCTCATTCATTCCTTTAGCATTTATCTTTCTATGTTGGACACCAACAATTCCAGGGTGAACAAGACAGAGACATACCTAAGTGAAGCCTCCAAATTAGTAGAGGAGACAGCATGATAGGTGCCATCCTAGTGTCAGGTCACGGGGTGCCCACTGTGGTCACTGTGATTGGAGGAGGTGAGGTTTGCGCTGAGTCCTGAAGCACAATTAGGAGTTTAACAGACAGATGATGAGTAGATTAGGGGGTGTGAACAGCGGGTTCCAGCAGGCAGAGAAATCATGCTGATCAAAGACTCGCAGTGTGCAAGGTGTGGGGCTAGAGAAGCCACAGACTAGGAAGGGCTTTGCATGTCAGGGCAGTGGGGAGCCTTTGGTATGTTTGCAAAGGGGCATTATGATCAGATTTGAGTTTAGAGAAGTCACTCTGGCAGAGGCTTCAGGGGTGATTCTGAGTGGGGAGAGCTCAGAGGCAAAAGGCCAATTAGCATTGTAGTTGGCCAGTGGTTTTCCAAGTGTGGTCCCCAGACCATCAGCATCAACATCACGTGGGAACCGGCTGGAAATTCAAATTCTTGGCCCCTACCAGAAACTCGGAGGATGGGCCCAGAAATCTGTGTTTTAACAAGCCCTGCAGGTGACCCTGGTGCATGCTCAATTTGAGGACCTCTGTTTAGCCCATACAAGATGTGATGGTGAAGTCAACTGAAATAATGGCATAAAGTGGGGCGAGGCTGGGGATGGGGGAGCTACGTCCCAGAGACTGACTCTAGAGGACTCAGTGTATGGTTAGCCGCGGTGCTGGGGGTGTAGAGAGGAGCAGGAGCAGGTCTTGGCCTTGGATAACGACACTACTCTCTCACATAGGTGTCCCTGGTGGGCTTCCTGTTCCTTTTGGGCTTGTACATCTCATCCCTGGCCTCCTGCATGGGAGGACTCTACGGAGCCCCCCGGATCCTGCAGTGCATCGCCCAGGAGAAAGTGATCCCTGCGCTTGCCTGTCTGGGGCAAGGGGTAAGTGACCCCCTGCCTTTTTTTTTTTTTTTTTTTTTGAGAAACACCTTTTGCCCCTACCCAATTTTCAGCCCATAAATTGCTTAAATTTTTCTGATTAGAGCCTCTGGTCAAGTTCTCTGGGTTGGAACCAACAAGAATGCAGAGGTCATTTATTTCAGCCCTGTCCCCTGGTTGGCTTAGGTTGGGGCCAACTAGATGAAGCATCTTCAGTGCCACGGCCACCCAGCCCTTGGCACTGGGTTAGCCAACCAGCCATGGTAACATCTTGGACCCTGAGCATCAGGGAAATGGAGAGCCCCAACCTTTAATAGAGGAATTGGTCCTTGCAGCTCTAACTCTGCCCTTGAGGCTCCCCTGCCTTTAGAGGTCGCTGTTTGATGATTTCCCACACCTCTGGCCTCTGGGCTCCCTGTTAAGCATCATGAACCAACCCTTAACTGATATAGCATAGCTTGGTTGAGTCATGGCTGGAATGATCAAAAGAGACATTCCTAAAACCTAGGGATGACAAAAGAGAAATGAACAGAACCCCACTTCCCAATAATGTGGTCTGCAAGCCATAGTTCCTTTTGTCTTATCGAGGTACCACAGGGGCTCTCCCCAAGCCCCTTCTGGTTTCCAGTCTTGCTATTGTCTAGGGCACATGTAGTTGCAAATCCTTAATTTCTCCCCTTGCCTTCCTCCCCTTCTTAATCTCAGCACCGGCTGGGGAGGAGCAGGGACCATCATCTCTATATCTTCCATCCGCTATATGCCTTTTATTTTATTTTTCTTCTGTTTCTTTTATTTTTTATCAGGTAATATGTATGCAGGATTCAAAGCTAAAAATAATATAAATTTTTGCTCCTAACATGAGTCTTTCTACCTTTTTTCCACCCCAACCCTGAACCTTCATTTGCTGTTTTTATTAGTTTTTTAAATGAATCCTTCTCTTTCCCATTTTTATGCAAAAGATAGTGCTCAGTATACATGTTCAACACCTTGCTTCTTTTCATTTCGTATAGCCTAGAAACCTCTTTTCATTTGAACACAGGGAGAACTTTCTCATTCTTTTTCTGTTGTGTGGATATACAACAATTCATTTAATTGGTTCCCTAGAGATCGACCACTTGTGTGGCTTCTAGTAAACAATGCCACAGTGAATAATCTTGTGTGTGTGTGTGTGTATAAAATTTTGTATATGTGCAGTTAGATATATCTGCTGGATACATTTTCATAAGTGGGATTACTGAGTCAAAGGAAACTATATTTTTTATTTTAATGGATATTGCCAAAACACCTCCGTGAGATTTGCATCATTTGTACTCCTATCTGCAATGAATGAACGTGCCTGTTTTCCCACAGCCAGTGCCACTCTTAGACTTGAGCCAAAGGATTCTGCTTTGCAAGACTGCCCTGGCCCTCGGGTACACGCAGTTTGTGAGGCCAAGGGGACTTGCCCACCTGGATCCCATGCCCTCCCCTTCTGGACCACATCCCGGGTGTGCTGTATCCCGGAATTCCCTGCCCAGAGGCCCCCAGCCCACTTCCAGGGTCTGCAAGGGCCTCTTCCTTTCCAGGAAGGCTGTAGGGTGAGAGACCACGGTGGAGTGTGAGGCGCCCCATGGTATGGTCTGGGAAGAGAAGGGAGTTGGGCTGTGAGCAGAAGGCTGCACGTGGCCATCTTCCAGTGAGGAAGTCTGAGGAGTAAGAATTCCAACCCTGAACCTGGGCTTCCTTGCCATCATGAAGGGATATTTGCCCCGGAAGGAGGCTAGAACACATTTGATTCGACATTTGACAGGTTGATAGCTTGGTTTATGACCCATTTGCACTCTCACCCTGAGCAACAAACCCAGTGTTGGCAAGGAACCTGTCAAATGTGAATTGTTGCCCAGTGACTATAATCAACAAGTTATGGTATACTTCAGAATAACTAAAAAAGTAGAATCGGAATGTTCCTCACACAAAGAAATGATCAGTGCTTGAGGTGATGGATTCCCCAATTACCCTGATTTGACTATTAAACATTATATGCCTGTATCGAAACATCACATGTGCCCCAAAATATATACACATATTATGTACCTATAATAATTAAAAATTTAAAAATGTGAATTGTTGCTAGTTGTATAGTGGGAAATGGCATCTTACTCTCAACCACAAATGAAGTTGAACATCTTTTCCTCTATTTAAGAGCTATTTGTAGTTTTTTTCTGTGATTATGGGTTATTTTAAGAGCTATTTGTAGTTTTTTTCTGTGATTATGGGTTATTTTCTTCTTAATTGCTAGGTGCCCTTTTTTTTGTTAGGAAGAGTAACTGTGTATATGTATTACAAATATTTTTCCTAGTTTGTCATCTGTCTTTTTTAACTTTGGGAACTTTTCTTCAAAGGTTCTTTACATATGATTAAATTTTCTCAGCTCATTTTCTTTTTTAATGGGGGAAGAGAGGAAACTTTAGAAATTTTTTGAGATATATTCAATGTACAGAAAAGGACATAAAACAAACATGAACAGTTTAAAGGAAAACTACGAGTGAACACCCTGGTAACCTGCACCCAGGGACGCTGCCAGCATCTGGAAGTGCCCTCCACACGCCCCTCCCTGCTCAGAGAGCCCTTCCCATTCGCTGCAGGAGTTCCTCACCTGACCTCTGCCATCGTCATTTCCTTGCTTTATTTACGGTCTTACTCAAGGGCCTGCAAACTTTTTCTGAAAAGCATCAGATAGTGAGTATTTTAGGCATTGCGGGCCATATGGTCTCTATCACAGCTTCTCAGCTCTTCTGTTGTAGCTCAAAAGTGGCCACAGACAACACCTAATACTTTATTTATGGACACAAATTTGAATTTCATGTAAATTTCATGTATCCCAAGATTCTTCTTTTGGTTTCTTCACCCAACTGTTTAAAAATGTAAAACCATTCTTAGCCCATGCCGGATTCGACCCGGGGGCCATAGTTTGCAACCCCTGGCTTACTTCCTACTTATGTATCTCTACACAAAATAGTTTAATTTTGCCTGTATTTGAATGCTAAATAAATGAAGTCATGCGTATATATTTTTTTGTGGCATGCTTTTTTCACTCAACATTGTGTGTATGAGATTTGTGCTTGTTTTTGCTTGTGGCAGCGGCTTGTTTATTACTTGGGACTATTATGGGTAGTGTGATGGACATTGCTGTCCCAGCGTCCTGGTGCATGTGTGGCGTCCCTCCAGACTGGACGCCCATTGGAGGAACTGCTAAACTGTAAGGACTGTATCTTCGCTTACTGGATAACATCAAACTCTTTTGCAAAGTAGTTATGCTAATTTATGCTGCTATCAGCAGCGGGGACGAGTTTCTGTTCCTCTATATTTTTGCCAATACTTGATATTATCAGATTTTTAGATTTTTGCCAGTCTAATGGTATCTCACTGCAGTTTTAGTTTACATTTCTCTATCTGTACTTTCTCTACAATTTTTCTGTAAACCTAAAACTGCTCTAAAAAATAAAGTCTATTTTTAAAGAATCAAAAAGATTTACATTTCTCTAATTACTTTTGAGATTGGGCATCTTTTCATGTGTTTAACAGGCATTCTTTGGTAAAGTACTTGTTAAATCTTTTACTCGTTTTTGTAAGTGGGTTGTGTTTTTCCAATTATTTTGTGGGAATTCTTTGTATATTCTGGAAACTCTTTGTCAGTTATCTGTGTTGCAATAACAGGCCATTCCGTGGCTTGGCTTTTCTTTTCTTTCTTTCTTTCTTTTTTTTTTTTTTGGTATCTCTTGGTGAAGAGAAGTTCACGTTTGCCTATTTTAGCACTTCACAGCCCACCCTTATCAGAATCTTGGCCTGGACATCACGAGTGTTTTCTTCAGCTGACCTGAGACCCTTTTAAAGTTTTTTTTAGTTTCTGAGATTTACCTTATTCGTGATAGCTTTGTTGTTAGAATAGTTTTACTCTTTTTTTTTTTTTTTTTAAGATTTTTACTCTGAAGTTCTGGGGGAGGTATTTCAGGTCATTAGGGGCTCTGAACCTCAAAGACTCAGGCTGATGACGACTTTGCCATCTTCGACCTGTGGCTTCCGTGGCTGCTGCTCTCCCAGCCCTCAGCGTGGGGACCGCACCTGGAGGAACTCGTGGGACGTACGTGGGCCAGACCTGGCAGCGGCTTACGTGCTGCCCTCACGCTGCAGACCGCTAGTAGCGCAGGAGATCGGCGGTTGGCTTCTGTCTCTATTTTGAGTGATGAAGCTGACAGTGTTTGCTGATGGAGGAGAGAATGAGAAGAGGCATCGAGACCCCTGCTTGGCTGACCAGCTGGAAAGATACTAATACAACTACTACCTATGGTACTCTAGGAGCCTACTGGATGTTGGTGCTGTGTTAAGCATTTTACATGCGTTAGCATGATCTCACAATAATCCCATGAGCTGGATATTATTAACCCAAGTTTATAGGTGAACAGTTACATGGGGAGAAGTGTCTGAGCCATTATGAGTTGTGTTTCTCATATAAATTCTGAAATTTCTGAAACTCTCTATCTGAAATTTCATAGTCCTGCATTTATTTTTGTTTCTGCAGAAAGGGCCAAATAAAACACCTGTGGCCGCCATCTGCTTGACCAGCTTGGTGACCATGGCCTTTGTCCTTGTGGGTCAGGTGAATGTTCTGGCCCCCATCGTCACCATCAACTTCATGCTGACGTATGTCGCGGTGGACTACTCTTACTTCTCCCTGTCCATGGGTCCCTGCAGCCTCCCCCAGGTATCTGAGCCAGTGCTCAGGGAGGACCCAGAAGCTGTCCACTGCTCTGAGCACCTGCTCTTGGAGAAAGCTCCCAGCTATGGCTCTGAGGGCCCTGCCGAAAGCGTCTCTGAGGGCACGCTGCTAGAATTCACCAAGGACATGGACCAGCTCCTCCAGCTAACCAGGAGGCTGGAGAGCAGCCAACCCAGGCAAGGAGAGGGGAGCAGGGTCCCAGAGAGTCAGAAGAGGAAACACAAGAAGGCCACCAAGCAAACCCTACAAGACAGCTTCCTCTTGGACCTCAAGTCCCCTGCTTCCTTCCCCACTGAGGGCTCTGACAGGTCACCCACTGCCTCCTGGGAAGGGCAGGAGTCCTGCCGGAACAAGCAGCCTTCCAGGACTGGAGGGACTCAACCTGGTGGGATACATGGAGAACAAGTTGTCCCTGAGCTGTGTAACCAGTCTGGGCCGAGTGGAGAAGGTGAGTGCTTTGGAATCACACTGGGGGCTCCTCTTTTGGGGTGACCCATGGGTGCCTCATCTACCCAGTTGACACAACTCAGTTGTAACTGTGTTTAAAATCCTTGTTAATTTTGTTTGATATTTATTTTAAAACATTATATTCAGGATTCAGCTGAGTTATTCATAATTCTACTCTGTTAAATAAAGTTAATTTTAAACAGAAATTTCTATCTACTCCTGTCTGTCAGAGCTGGGGGCCATGGCTAGTAATTGAATATCAATTTCTTTTCACTCAAAAGTCAGCTGAGGTATAAGGCCAACGTGAGTGAAACCAATTTCTCCTTTCAAGAGAAGTGGAAATGTGTCGTGATAAACTGCCTGGCAAGGACTCAGCATGTTTTCTCCGCGGAAGATGAATCTCCCAGACCAGGCAAAAGGGATGGAGAGAAGGTGATTAAAGGGGCACAGCTTTTCTTTTTCAAATCTCCAAACACAGAGACGCAGAGAGAGACTCTCACAGAGAGGCTTACAGGGCATGAGACATTCTGAGAGAAAGGGAGAACTCTTAGTTTTTTCTTTTTTAATTTATTTTCGTTTTTATTTTTTGTAGAAACAGGATCTTGCTATGTTGCCCAGGCTGGTCTTGAACTCCTGGCCTCAAGTGATCCTCCCACTTCACCCTCCCAAAGCACTGGGATTACAGGCATGAGCCACCACACTCAGCCAAGAACTTATAATTTTTGAGGACCTACCATATTCTAGATGGTTTACATCTATTACTTGATGCAATATAATGGTTCTTCCCATTTTCCATTTTAAAAATGACTACCCTGCAGTCCAGTGAGATCACAGAGAAGTCTCAGAGCTGATTCTTTGCTCGGTGGGATGTCACCCATCTCTTGTGTTGCCTGTATTTGAGGCCCACATATTTTCCTGTACGTTGTGCCACCCTGGATATCTAGACAGACAGGTGTGGGCAAAGAGGAAGAGACAAGGGGCATAGGAGATGTCTAAAAACAAATGCTGTGTTTTTTCATAGATGTGTTTTTCTTTCTTTACCTCTAAATTGGTGGGAGGTTTTTAATGGTAAGAGCATAATTGAAATTTTTAAAATTATTTTATTTTAATCAAAGTGGTAAGTGTACAGTTTAATGAGCCAAATGGTGTTAAAAATCACATAATCAGAAACAGTAGTTTCTGTTCTTCCATACCATCCCTTTTACCCTTCTCCATCCCGGAAAATCCTACTTTCAACCAAAAACCTGCTGCTTCTGTTACCTTTCTGTTACTAAAGAATATATTTTCACTGCTACTTCTTGATATGTCGATTGCAGGCATCATCTTTTGACTTCCTGTTACGGTAAATGAGGATTTAACTCTTTTATGCCACTCTGACTTCTCCTTATCTAATACCCCCAGTGCAGTTATACCACAGTTTTTGATTAAATTAAGAACTAGCAGTCATATTGTCAGAAGTAAATACTGCTTAATTCTGAGCCATATATTACACTATGATTGTATTTCATTTTTTGCCCAGCTTTTGCTGTTTCCTTGAGTCAATAATTGCCTTGGTTGTTTATTTGCTTGGTTTTTCTATCATCATTTTTCTCTAAATGCTCTGGCAGATTTGTCAAAAGCCTTTCAACATTATTTTCTAATGCTCCAAATTCTTCGGAAATCTATCAAGCCCATTTTTTCCCCTCTGTCCTATGGCTTTCATCCTCCTGTTCCATTCCAGACTGTTCTCTGGGCCTACTATAACCCTGTTGTCTTAGAATCGCTCTCCACCACACTTCTGTGTCAGATCCAGGGAACAAGAGACTCCTTGGATAAATATTGTAGAAGACTTTTGTCTTTTTTTGTTATTGTTGCCTGCCCAGCATTGAATGGCCTCCTTATGTTAATATTTGAAGAATTTCCAGTGTTACAAATCTTGGTGAGAGACAAGGCGAGCCTTCCACACTCAAAGCTGAAAATGCCAGATACTCAGTTTTCTAGCCTCTCCTGCAGTCAGAGTTCAAGCACAATACCAGGGTGGGGAACCTGCAGACTTCTAGGTCCTTAAGTTCAGCCTTCTGACTGAATCCAAATTTTACAGAACAAATCCTTTTATTTCTATTAATACATTTTTGTTTATCTTTTATATTTATATTTTATTTTTAAAATGAATGTATTTAAAATATCAAAGAATAAAATAAGTTTCAACAAAATAATCCTCCCAGATTGACCAGCACTATTTAGCCATAAGGGCTAAATTGATGGCTGCTAAGCTCATGATTTAGTTCTAACATCCCCCGCCTGACTGGCACCACTATCGCACGAGGCTGGTTGGTGAGAATTCATGGGGGTCGCGAACGCCAGTCTGTTATCAGCTTTTGACAACGGTGTACTGTGTTTCTGTTTGAAGTGGAATTTATGAATAGTTGCACAGCTCAACAGTATTTTTAATTTTGTCTATTTAAGAGCCCATCATGTCAAAGAAGACCAAGAGAACACTGAAGGAAGAAAACAGATTTTTTAATGAGGATTGGGAATTGCAAGATTATCTTGTTTCTGCTAAAGATAAGATGATTTGCTTGCTTTGTGATACTGCAGTATCAACATTAAAGGATTTCAATGCTCATCTGCCCTTTAACACTCATAAGGACCACACATATTTTAAAATTAGAGGGAGAGGCAAAAAAGGTTGTATTGCAGAAATTAAAACATGAAAAGCAAAAGCAAAGACAAGTCTTTTAAGCAGCAGTAAGACCCGGAAATAATGCCACTGCAGCAGCTTATAAAATAGCTCATATACTTGGGGGAAAAAGGGAAGCCATTCAATGATGTAGAAATTGTGAAAGAATGCATTGTCAAAGTTGTAGGATGCTTAGACCCTGATAACGTTTCAAAGTACAAACGACTGCCTCTTTGAAGGAGAACCATAACTGATCAGCAGCGTGAATCAGCCTTCAACTTAACAGATCAACTTCATGCAACACTTCAAAAGGAAAATGTATATTATCCAATCACTTTGATGAATCAACTGATACTACTGACTTGGCGCAGATTTTATACTTCATTCAGGTTACAACAGAAGATTTTCTTTGCTACGAAGAGTTACTCATGTTGGGCACTCTTGCAAACAGCATGGGGGATAGATATTTTTAACAGTGTTCGAGATAAATGTCATGCGGCTGGACTGCATTTGGTAAATTTAACGAGCCTGTGTACAGACAGTGCACCTTCTATGACAGGAAAACATGAAGGGTTTATTGCACAGATAAAAAAGTATTAACAGACCCAGATGCTCTCATTTCTTTTCATTGTATCTTGCATCAGCAAAATCTCTGTGCTAAAGCTACTATTTTAAGTGACACTTTGCAACAAGTTATAAATATTGTTAACTATATTCATGCAAATGCAACATGGCATCCTCAGTTTCATAACACACTAAAGTTGAAAGATGAGATATTCATTGTGGGTTTGCCATATCATTCTAAAGTGCATTAGCTATCACAGGGATAGGTGTTAGCCAAAATTTTATCTCTGTGAGAACAGATTGTTAAATTTTATGAAGAACAGAATCAGCAATGTGAATTATTGAAAGAAGATTTCTATAGGAATGCAGCCTTTCTGTGTGATACCATGTCAAATCAAAATGACTTGAATATTTCTTTGCAAGGTAAAACTGCATCTATATATGATATGCGGCAAAAAATCCAAGCATTTCAAAAAAAGCTATCTTTTTTTTGAGACAGAGTCTCACTCTGTTACCCGGGCTAGAGTGCTGTGGCGTCAGCCTAGCTCACAGCAACCTCAGACTCCTGGGCTCGAGTGATCCTTCTGCCTCAGCCTCCCGAGTAGCTGGGACTACAGGCATGTGCCACCATGCCCGGCTAATTTTATATATATATATATATATATTTTTTTTTTTTAGTTGTCCAGATCATTTCTTTCTATTTTTTAGTAGAGACGGAGTCTCGCTCTTGCTCAGGCTGCTCTCAAACTCCTGACCTTGAGCGATCCACCCGTCTTGGCCTCCGAGAGTGCTAGAATTACAGGCATGAGCCACCGCGCCTGGCCGGCTAAAAGCTATCTTTTTTGAAAACACTTCTTTAAAAGGAAATTTTGGGTGAACATTTTCCCCAGTAAGCAAAGGTCATTGATGAGCAGGGTGATGCATGCAAATCGTTTGAAGAATGCACAGCTGTTATAGACCTATTAATTGGAGAATACAATGAAAGGTTCACTGACTTCAAGAATCATGACATCATACTCATTAGCATTTCAGCCTCACCTAGTTGATATCACCAAGGCACCTAAAGAACCACAGAAGGAATTGATTGAGCTCTCTGTAGATGACATTTTAAAGTCATTGTTTGCAGCTAAGAAAGATCCAATTGAAATAGGGGAAAATGCAGAATACCCATGCCTTTGTCAACATGCCTGAAAAATAGTTCCTTGCTTTTCAACCACTTACTGCTGCAAATCTACATTCTCCTACCTAACCCAAATCAAGATACCCTTATGGTCACAAATGATGATACCCATCTAGGAATCAACTGAAACTGTGGACCTCCAGGCTACAACCAAATATTGAAATGCTTTCCAACAGAAAGCAGACACAACAAAGTCATTAAAAGGTTAGTTAACTTTAAAATTAACAAATAGTTTTCATTGTTTGAAATTATTAAGTACACAGTAGTTAGATTTTTACAAAATAATGTACATTTTTAAGTATATCTAATTGAAGTTTTTTGAATGCAGTCTTATTTGATTATAGTTAATTAATGAGGCCTTCCAACATGAAAAGGTTCCCCACTCCTGCACAATGCCAAAGCTCTGCTAATCAGATGAGCCGACCTCATGTTTCGAATTGGGAACCGGAAATCTGAAGAAATAGGACTTTGAGGAACTTTCTGGAAGCATGATGGTAGCTACGGGATGACTACATTACTGGCTCCCGTGTCCAGATTCTCATGTCCTTCAGTCCTGGTATTTTTGTAGTTGTTTACCTCAGCTGTAGAGGGTTGAGAA